CTACGAAAGAAAGTCTCCTACGCCTATTATAGAAGCGTTTACGAGCATAAAAACGCCTCTGGTAAAAAGTACGTCTTTTCCGTTGAATGCCATCTTTAATGTCACTTTAAATTGCAACTGACGTTACTAAGGAACATGACGTCAAAAGGGGAGCAAAATGACGTCAAAACGGTTGCTATGACGTTATAATGTAAACAAACTCGACCTCTTACAGCGCCGCGTGTTAAAGCAATACTAGTAACACGCGGCGTCAAAAAAAGTCGACAATGGCGAAACTCACCAAAAAGCGTTGTGAAAAGTGTAAATGTGATGTTACAGCGAATCAATGGAGTAGACATCTTAAAACAAAGAAACATAAAGGAGGAAAAGCAGAAGGAAAGCAAAAAAGAGAGAAAGGAGGTCAGACTTTCTTCATTACAATCAGCAAACCAGCAAAGTACAACATACAGAAGAAATGGATGAGTTGGAAGTTCGGAGCACAACTTGTAGCAGGAAATGAATGGGGATTGAGTGGTAGGAATGGCCATTGCCATGCGTATGTGAAGACTACAGAGAAAATTCGTCTATGAATGGAATAATTTATACTTTGAAGGGGTCCTTAATCTTGGAACCAAAGGTATCTATACCTCAAACTTATGTTGGAATTGGCACAGTTTTCTTACTGGAACTATCAAGTTAAGAAAATGGCAGAAGGCGTTTTTGCGCTAGCAAACGTCGATATTTTTGACGTCATTTTGGGTCTCTTATGACGTCATTGACGTTTTGACGTCATGTTTCTTAGTAACGTCAGTTGCAATTTAAAGTGACATTAAAGATGGCATTCTACGGTAAAAGACGTGTTTTTAACCGAAGGCGTTTTTATGCTAAGAAGAGGTTCTTTAATAGACGTCGTAGGAATTTTTATAGGAGGAGACGTGCTCCAGTTCGAAGAAGGACTTACAGGCGAAGAGGTAACTTCATGAAGAGAATTTACAAAGGAATTGTTCATTCTGAACACAAGGCTTCGCATGAGTTTAATTTGGGAGCCAAAGGAGTTTATACATCTAATCTCTGTTGGAATTGGCACACTTTCCTGACTGGATCCATCAAAAGTCAGACTTCTTCTTACCTGAATCTTTTTGACGAAGTTAAGATTCGTCACGTTACTCTTGTTTATTGGTTGCGAAACAATGGTTCTAATTCTTTAACTTATGAACAACCTACGATGACAACAACTTACGATCCAGATGCTCAAGGCCGTACTATGTCTATAGACAATCAGAACTGTTGCCCGAATACACGTGAACGTTTAATTCGTTATGGAAAGAAATACAAGCTCAGGATGTACCCCAAGTTCCAGCCTAAGCTTTCTGCTGCTAAATCCGTAGCTATTGGTGGTAAATCTCTATCTCCTTGGATTGATGCTGCCTATTTTACGTATGAATGGAATTATTTATACTTTGAAAGGTTCTCCTAATACCTTTGTTGAAGGCTACTACAGTGTTGGACTTTCATGGAAAGGACGTAGAGATGGTCAGATCTATACTGTCAAGGATGATCTGTATTCTGCTGCTACTCCTGGAGGTTTTGAAGTTTTAGAGGGATACGATACAGTCAATAAGCTGCCAGACGAGGGGCCACACCACGAGCCGGAGTCCCGGAGGGCGGAGGCGATCTGTGTTAGGGTCCAGCTGCCATGGAGTATTTAACGGTTTTTTCCTGAAGAGAAACATATGTCTGTACCCTTTTTAAATTTGAGTGGTCTTTTTACCATATTTATGTCTCTTTGAGCTTAGTGTATGTATATCTTATGATCTACTTGATGTAGAACCTTAAAATTTGGAACACAACTAGACATGTTGAATATGAAATCACTTATGACAAAAAAAAGTTGAGGTGGGCGTGGCACATCCGGGTTGAATTACTGATTGTTTACATTTAGGGGCAGGGGCATATCTCGCATAGGATACATTTGTTCAAAAAGGGACTTTTGCACATTGTACACAATTACCTCATCCTTTTCGCTAGGTTGTGTTATCAACTCAGTTGTTTCAGCTTTAGAGTTCCAAAAAAGGAACGGGTTTTAAAATTTCCATATTTTCAATTTTTGATTTTGACCTTTGTTAACTTTTGATGACCTATATCTTTTGACCCGTGTTATGTAGATGCATGGCATTTGATATCAATTAACCAATGCAAAAACAATTGACGTGGGCGTGGCACATCCGGGTTAAATTACTCATTATTGACATTACCTCATGTTTTGAGCCACTTTGTCTTAGAAGTTCGGTTGTTTCCGCTTCATAGTTCAAAAAAGGGAACAGGTATTGGAAATTCACAATTTTCAATTTTTGACCTTGACCTTTGATGACCTTGACCTTTATTGGGTCAAAGGTCATTGACCTTGGCTATCAGTTGATGCTTTCATAGTTACATCCCCGTAATTAATTATTTGAATATCAAGAGTTACGCCCCGTTCTAGGCTTTTTTAATTGTGTCTTTACAGAACCAAACCCATTATGGAATTATGAATTTTTGCCGATGGCTTAGTATTAAATGCCTACATATATTCAAAAATGACTACAATATATTTCTATATTTGTATCATTAATAATATGAATAAAATTGACGTTTTGGCAATTTGTATGCTAAACTTATCATTTTATACAGGCAAGGTCCGCAAAAATGCATATTAGGAAAAACGACACAAATATACGATTTAATTATATATAGACACAGTTTGTTAAAAACAATTTTAAGTTAAAAATTAAGAATATAATGTCTTAAATACAAAAATACATTAAAGAAAAATTAAATAACAATTATTTTATTCAAAGTGAATTTCATTGGTTTTAAACATACTATAATAAATATTGGACATAAATAACCATATATCATAGTGTAGCTATGTAACTACACCAAACACCAGACTTACTTTAAACAACACGAAACAGACTCTTTCGTTAGTAATTGCCCACAATTTAGGAATAAGCAAGTTACTGCAATTTATTCATCATTTTGTATAGCAGGGTGTGGTCCAGAACACAAGCTCATGAGATCGTTGTATTTGGCTTCCTGAATAGAAGGTGGTTTGCAGTAGGCTTTATTGATAGAAAGACCAGAATCTACCCTGCGATTAGCCATGAGTAATTCAAGAAACTGACTTTCTGTGTGTGATAATTTGAAAAAAAATTGACTTAGGTTTGCTTTTTATAAATTTTAACTGTCTAATATCTAGCCATCTAATATCTACATCACCCACAGATTGACGCGCTCTCAGGATTCCTAAGGATTGTGCCCTAAAATCCATGATATGTTCGGTTTGAACTTAGAAGCCATTCTAATCAGTACTGATAGTTGTGAAGGGATAGTTATATCGACCACCCTCCTTAAAGCACGCTCTATAACACTATACACAGAATCACCCTCTGACTGACCATGGATTGTTTCAAAATAATATACAATTACTTCAGTCAGATTTTTTGACTTGGAGAGAGTATGATGAAGCATAGCACAGATAATAGAATTTTTGTTTTGCCCTCCATATCCGTCAAAAAAAAATGGGCGCGTTTAAACCCTTCCCGGCCACACCTCTTAAGAAAATTTGAAAGGTTAGAGCATGTTCCATTGGCCCCACGTTTGCCAATCCCGTCGTGCCAAAGGTAACAGTAACCCTTGTGGGATTTCAAATTTTATATTGAAAAATTGTAGTTCAACAATCTCCTTTTATAAAACAATCCCCCCTGTCGCTTCTTGGTAAAAATATATCTTGCTGCAGGTCAAGACAACCTACAAAATTATCCATTCGTCTTATCTTTTTCTGTGGTATGAACTTCATAATCGGTAAATTTAATCCGTTTCTCGTCGTCTGTGGTTTTATGGTAATCTTCACATATTCCACAGAGATCCTTTTTGGCCTTGAAAATTTTAAATTCATACTATTTAAAAACCTTGTAATAAAAACGCAAATTCACTGATTCTTCTCCCGAATGGTCGTGATTGTACATCTCAAACATCTTTGTTATAGTGAGCTCATTTGATAGATATTCACAAGCTCTATGAGACCTTGTATAATGGGACTCCATTCTTGGAAATCTGTTAATGTGATTTAACAGCTTGGCGCTCGAACGGCCTCCTCTTTTCTCCTGTTCCACAGCTTCAGTAGAAGATGTCCTAATGCCACAGTCGAAACTTGTCTATCCGTAACGTTGATTGTGTTTACAAATAGAAGGCGACAAACACGGACTGTGTCTCCGTTGTCATCTAGAGGAAGAAAATAGGCTACTGTTCGTGTTTTTTCTACTGTTTTCTGTAGATGTCAATGTCTTGATATCCACAAACGTTGAACAGACAACGACGCAAGCCCATAGAATGTCGACAAAATACTTCTGTTACTATTTCACAACCAAGACCATTACGTGAGCAATATGTGCTATTGCATCATGGTTTTGAAATATTTCTGGCCTCCTTGTGAGCACCAGACTCACTTATATAAACAGAACCTTCAAGTCTACGTTCTTTTATTTCGAGTTTTCTGGATTTAGCTTTCGGTTCTATTGGAATATCTTCGTGCAATGGATGATTCACCTTCCACTGTAAACGCCTCTGGCTGGGGTGGATTACCATTTACGTGTAATTCTTTAAGTATCAGTACTGGTATCGTTGGAATAACCGGACTGTAATCTGGATCATTCGGGTCATCGTTGGCCTCGTCACTGCTGCAGCTCTGAAGTTGTTTACTGCGCTCTTCTTCTATTGCATTTGTTTTCAAAATTGATGTTTCTACAGATGGTATATCTTCAGTTTCCTCTCCATCAAGATTTTCATCTAGAAAAGAGGGGAAATTTTAACTGCCTCCGATAGTATGATGTCATCAAGAGTAAGTAAGTCTTCTTCAAAAGAGATTTCGTTCGCAAGGACGGGACTATTCTCATTGGACGTATCGTTACTTTCATCAATAGACAGATCTTTGAGGTCTATTCCGCGTTGAATTTGTAAGACACTTCCCTTGTACCATTTATTTTCTATTCCCCATCACATTTTTAATTTAGAACCAAGCTTCAAATGTGCAATCGAGGGGGGCAATTTAGCAAAGCACCTTGACAGACGATTGCAACGAATGGGGATTATCAGGAAGAAAAGGACACTGTCATGCGTATGTACAGACGACAGAGTAGATGAACTTCGAACGTTTCAAGCAGGTATGGAGTAGCAAAGGATTTCCAAGGATAGACGATATTCAGAGTGTTAAAAGTATTCACAACACAGTAAGATATATTACCAAAGAAGGCCACAAGGCAATTTTAGACCATGTGGATATGGACTTAGTCAGCTTACCATGCAAGGCTTGGGTTACAGCCCAGAGATATTACAAATGGAAATCATTACCAGCAAACAGTTACCCATACTGTAATATACCACCACATCAAAGAAAGGCGTTTATGGAAACATATGAAGAGTATGCACGACAAAATACAGAAGACGATGTAAAAGAAATGTACACAGAGGATAAATTAAGAAAATGGCAGAAGGCATGCATCAGAATACTTAAGGAGACGGAAGATCGTGAAGTGGTGTGGATATATGATAGAGACGGAGGTGCTGGAAAGACCTATCTCTGCAAACATCTCAATGCAGTAGAAGGGGCCGCAATCTTTCAGAACGGAAACAGTAAGGATATCAGTTACGCCTACAATGGAGAGAAGATAGTGTGTTTTAATTACACAAGAGATGACGAAAAGTTAGTTAATTATGCAATCCTGGAAAACTTAAAGGACGGATATTTATTCAGTGCCAAATACGATAGCAGAACAAAACATTTCCAGAGCCCCAAGGTGATTTGCATGGCCAACTTCGTGCCAGACGAGACCAAAATGAGTGAAGATCGGTACTGGAATTTCCAACTCGTAAAAAAAGAAGATGAATACCAAATGATTGTATGTTAAATGATTTTATTGTTAATAAATAAATGAATGTTCAAGCCTCTCATATTTTATAAATCAATAATGGCAGCTGGACCCTTGATCTTCAGGAAAAAAACGTTAAATCCTCCATGGCAGCTGGCTGGTAACACAGATCGCCTCCGCCCTCCGGGACTCCGGCTCGTGGTGTGGCCCCTCGTCTGGCAGCTAATTCACTGTATCATGCCCTTCAAGGACTTCAAAACCTTCAGGAGTAGCAGCAGAGTACATATCATCCTTAACAGTATAGATCTGACCATCTCTACGTCCTTTCCATGACAGTCCCACACTATAAAAGCCTTCAACAAAGGTATTAGGAGAACCTTTCAAAGTATAAATAATTCCATTCATAGAAGAAGCAGGAGAAGCACCATAGGTAAAATAGGCAGCATCAATCCATGGCGAAATAGAATTACCACCAATAGGTACAGATTTAGCAGCAGAAAGCTTAGGCTGGAACTTTGGATACATCTTGAGCTTATACTTCTTGCCATAACGGATCAACCTTTCACGAGTATTCGGGCAACAGTTCTGATTATCTAAAGACATCACCCTTCCTTGACAATCAGGATCATAGGTAGTAGTTACAGTAGCTTGCTCATTGGTAAGAGAATTGGATAAATTATTCCTCAACCAGTAGGTAAGAGTCACATGTCTAATCTTCACCTCGTCAAACAGATTTAAATATGAAGAAGTCTGACTTTTGATGGATCCAGTCAGAAAAGTATGCCAATTCCAGCATAAATTGGAAGTATAGATACCTTTAGCTCCCAAGTTGAATTCATGTGATGCCTTGTGTTCAGAGTGAACAATACCCTTGTAAATACGCTTCATAAATGGAGTTCTACGACGATATGTCCTTCTTCGTACTGGAGCACGTTTCCTCCTATAAGAAGTCCTCCTACGCCTATTAAAGAATCGTTTTCTTGCATAAAAACGCCTTGAGTAAAAAGTACGTCTTTTACCGTTGAATGCCATCTTTAATGTCACTTTAAAATGCAACTGACGTTACTAAGGAACATGACGTCAAAAGGGAACCAAAATGACGTCATAACGTAAACAAACATCGACGTTTGCTAGCGCCAACCATTCCAAAATCATGCATTTGTTCAGACATTCCAGTTAGATCCTTTTGCAAACAATCGAAATCATCAGGTCCAGCTGAAGTTGATGCAGATTCTGACCATCTCTACAACCCCTTCAGGATAAACCGATAGAATAAAATCCTTCAAGGAATGTATTAGGCGAGCCTTGAATGCTGTATATAATACCATTCATAGATGAAGGAGGAAGAGCGCCATAGGTAAAGTAAGCAGAATCTATCCATGGAGAAATAGGTTTTCCACCAATATTACCTACTGTTCTAGCATTAGATAATCTGGGCTGAAATTTTGGATACATCTTCATAGAGTACTTTTGTCCATAATGAATAAGATGTTCTCTGGTGTTACGACATGCATTCTGATTATCAACAGTCATAATTCTGCCTTGACAATCAGGATCATAAGTTCTAGTAATTGTTTGTTGCTGATAAGTAAGAGAAGAGGCACCATTATTCCGCAACCAATAAATCAATGTAACATGCCGTATCTTCACTTCATCAAATAATGAAAGATAAGGCGATATCTGTGACTTTATTTGCCCAGTGACAAAAGTATGCCAGTTCCAACATAAATTGCTTGTATTAATACCAGTAGCTGGTATATTGAATTCATGATTAGCCTTCTGTTCACTGTGAACAAGGCCCTTATAAATCCTTTTTAAGAAATTTCCACTTCTACGATATCTCCGACGCATTGGAGCACGTTTCCTCCTATAAAAAGGTCTTCGACGTCTAAAAATAACCTCGTTTTTTAGCAAAAAGTGAAGAACGTCGAAAAAAACGTCTTTTCCGGTAGTAGGGCATCTTTAAACTGATGTTAGGGAGTAGCGTAGCAACGCTATAATGAAAAGACGTCATAAAGGAAAGTATGACGTTATAATAATCGACGTTTAGCAGCGCCGCGTATAATAGTAATACTAGATATACGCGACGCCAAAAAAGGTCGAAGACGTTAAAATGGCTCCAAATGCCAAAAAACACTGTGAAAAATGTAATGTTGATGTGGTAAAGTCGCAATGGGCAAGGCATGAGAAGACTAAGAAGCATAAAGAAGGAAAAACGAAGAGAAATTGAGAGAACTAGTTTTGACTAAATCGGCAAGAATATTGTTAATCATGTTAGCAGTTTCTTTGAAAATTGGTTTCGGTAAAATGGCATAATGTTTAGGATTATTCAGTTGATCCTCTGCTTCTGAAACGTAATCCTCCCTATTCAGAATGACACAACATGAACCTTTGTCACTCTTTTTAATAACAATGCTATCGTCTTTCTTAAGTAAGTTTAACGCTTCACGTTCCACTCGTGTGAGATTAGGCTTTTCGTGTGTTATGGAAAGGTTCACTGTTTGGCTATTCATACTCGCAAATGCTTTCAATATTTCAGGACGGATGGCGGCCCGAGGGGGTGTCCACGTGGATTTAGGAATAAACATTGTTCTAGCACCACGTGGGGGGTGGTTTCGAAAAAAATATGTGCAGCTAAGATTTCGTTGAAATCGTTCAATGGATGGTCGGAGATAATTCAAGTTAGCTATATTTGTTGTGGGAATAAACTTTAGTCCACGGTCTAAGATTGAATGCTGAAGGGGTGTGAGAATTTTGCGGCTCAAGTTAACTACAGTTTGGCCTAGCGGTGGCCTCTCAGTATTTTTATCCCCAGTAATTAGTTTAAAGACTTACTCGATGCTTGAAGCTGGTGTATCTAAAACAAATAGATGCTGTTTCTGGAGACCAATGAAGATTATCAACTGGTTCGAATTCTTCTTCGTAGGGTGGTAAGATTGTTGCGCTGTTGATACTGGACTCCATCGTTGTTGAGAGTGCTGAGGTTCTGTTGTGCTTTCTTCGAGATTTTATTTAAAATGGGTATACATGTGAAGAGGATCTTGGAGTTCGGGAAGGTTTTGTTGGCTGTGGCGATTAATTTCTGGGCTTGGTTAGAGGAGGTCTTTGGTAGCTGATCCCGGTTGTTGAGGCCTCCATGAAGAATAATGGTAGTAGGTTTGGGATCATGGTCGTATGATTCCAGGATTGACTGTATGTGATGGATTTGGGCACCGGGGTAAGAATGTATTTCGGTGTCTGAACTGGTTTTGGTAATTCGATTCAGGTTAGATGATCCAATTATTAAGGTAGATTTCTTTAGAGCAGGTAGCTTCCATAATGATTTGTCCTTGGTTTGGTGATAATACGGTTTGGTAGCGGATATAATGGTCGTCGACGGTGTGATTGGTACTGGTTTGGTAGTTGTTAGAATTGTAGCATTTGGAACGGACTGGGATCTGGTTCAAGGGGGGGGGGGGGGGGGGAAGGTTTGGATACACATCTCGACTTGGATGGAGACTGAGGGGTGGTTTGCTGGTCCAAAAACGCACAGAAGGAAGAAATGTTGGCGGATCCTGGATCACGTGGTGAAGATTCAGATGGTGTGGAAGGGGAAGACGAGTCTGAAAGTGAAAAGAGAAGGGGTGTTCCCTCTCTACGAGAGCGTTTACCTATGTCTGCTGGACTAGGAGTAGGTGAACTTCGGGCTCGTTTAGGGGTTTGGTTCGGCAGCGTGGTGGCTCTAAATGGTGCAGGTGTAGTGTCCATTTCAGTTGGTAGAGATATGGTTACTCTGGTTTTTGTTTCGTTGATTGTTTGGTAGAATTTGGTGATTACAGCTTGAGTGAGACGTTTCCCATAGGAGCGACGGCCCAGGACAGGGCATGAGAAACGATGCGGTCGACGGCAGGTGATGATAAAGACTTGGTACGAATGGTGGTCAGCTTCTCTTGAAGTGTGGTTTGGTAATGTCCGATTGAGGGATCTAATATTCGCGTCGACAGCTGATGTTTTCATTGCTGGACGGATAAAACTATCCAACTCAGAGACTTTGCGTTTGAAGGTAAACGCTGGTTGGCCTTGCTGTTGAAGGGTAAGGATTGCCAAATGATGGAGGCACTGCAAAACTTTAAAGAACACCTTCACAAAGGGTTCTTCCTCCTTATGAGTGGGGACTGGTTGGCGTCGGTGGGCTGGTAGTCGTTTCCGTTGTTGGTCAGGTCGATGGTTACCTCTTGATTGGTAGGTTGTGTTGTAGGTAGGTCGGCGATGGGGTGGGATATAGCTGGATAGGTTGGTTGGTGGTCGGCGATTGGTAGGTGGTAGAGGTCGATGGAAGACAGGGCCGTTGTAGGGTACGTGATATTGGTTTGGCTTCTTGCCAGTGGTTGTTGTAGTTGGAGAGAATAATGAAGATAGCTTGAGGTTAGAAGGGAATGTACAGCGGATGTAACAGGAGGAAACTGTATATGCTAGCGTGAAAATGTTGGGATCAAATTATGCAAATAAGTCAAACTGGGTTTGGGGATATATAAAGTAAGATGAAAGTTATGATGAAAAATGCAAAAATATATATTTAGGTGATAAATAACGCTAACAATGATGTGAAAAATTATAACAAGTAAAACAAAAACTTACGCAATTGACACGAACCGGTTTTCCTCCCTGGGGGCTCCATCGTCGCAGCTACACGCCCCTATGCAAGATGGAATCTGGGACTCGCCACGTATTTGGGTCAAAGGATGGTATTACAGATTACAGTTTCATACATTTATTACACACAACAGTACATCTAATAAATACACCACATGAAAGTCGGATAGTCGCGGTTATGTGGATATGTGCTAAATACCAATATGGAGGCTTCCAATGCATTCCGCCATTACTAATTAGACCTACACCATCATACCATTAGTAAAAAAGGTGTCTAAGGACTAGTGCTCAAGTACCACCAACCAAAATAAATAGCCCTGAAATGACAATAGGTTCTGTTTAACAAATCAATATCTTCGGCGTAAAGTACATCTAAATATTATCCATAAATATTATCCATAGCCCGCGACTAACATTAAATCATATACCAAACATATTAGAATGAGTGACAAACATTACCTCATCTACTTCGACAATTAGTAGAAGTCACATTAACATACGATCTAAAGAATAAAATATAGTTACCAGTTTGTGGAATAGGACCACAGAAGTTAGCAGCGCACTCCAACTATCTCACATGTGGGTCCTGGGCCACTGTAGCCAATTCTCGCTCCACAGAATTATATTCTTTATTCGAGGGTCATCAGTGTGGTCCTGTACAACATAATCAAGAATTTTCACAAAAGAGCTAGCGATGTCATTAGCAGAAGGCCAATTTTGAGCCTCATTCCATACAGCCCCGTAACCTTTTTTAATTAGAGAACACTGGGCTGTCATGTAGTATACATTCAATTTTCTTCTATAAAAGAAATTGGACACATCCGCTGTGGGCATAGCAAAAACATTTTGTAGGTCGAAACATACAACCATTATTGTCCTTATCTGATCGATCTTTGTCTCTTCCGACTTTGGTTTCGGCTTCGTTCCTTAAATGTGATATTTGTTGCTCCCCGGTTCTTAATCTTAGCAGATGCCTCGCAATGATCACATCTGTCCTTGTAAGGAGTGTGGAATGCGATATTAAACTCAGAATTAAATATCTCCCTGTATGGATGAAGTTTACCTGGTTCTGAGCCAGATACATGACACTTACAAAAATTTGATTGAAAGTCCTTTCGCCAGATATTCCTTATTAGTACTTGAACGACAGTAATGGGACTAATTATTACTAATACTAGGTGTCGCTTGAATGCCTTCCTCAATATCAGGAGGAATTCCTACATTGACGCTTTTGTCCCACTTAAACGGAATCGGTGTTCCGCCCACTGTATTCTTAGACTTGTGGTAGTTGATAATGCGTTTCTGGCTAATGGATAAGGTGTTGAAGAAAAATTGTTTGCAAACTCAATAATTGTCACCATTAAGAGCTATTGAATATGCTAATAAACTACAAAATTTAATTTGTATATTTGCAGGATATCGTCCAACAAAATTAACTAATTACAATAATATATAGAATTGCCTTTTACCCTATATTGTACGAACAAAACCAATGTCTGACTTGTGTGAAATGTGTCAGAAAAATAATGTTGCTGTTTATGGAAGTACTAATTTGCCTGGTGTCGTGAAACAGCTACACTTAAAAAACAATTTGAACATTTAGAATTGGTTACTAAAGGAAAGATCTGTATATCGAGATATGGTTTCACATTGAAAAAAAAATCATTTGATTATGCACAGCAGGTGCACTATCCTTCTAACCCTCTACAGCCAGGTCCAATATACTTTATAGTACCAAGAAGCTGTGGAATATTTGGTTTTCGGGGAAGGGAGGGTTTGATTCTCCCAAATGTACAGGCCTAGGGTGGAGCAGACACTTTAATTAGAAATTGGGATTAAGGGTCTTGATATTGGGTTTTCTTCTGTTCTTATTCTGATCTGAAATTAGAAAAAATAACTCGCCCGATGGGCGAGAAGTATAGTATCTGTTATGTACTGATTGTTTTTAGTTTACTATGAACAATATTATCATTTAAGTTCTTATTTTTTGAATATGCAACTATCATTTTCTGCTTATAGACATGGGGGAATTTCTCTTGAAGGCTCTTATAGTGGGCATGAACTATCTTGCTTGCTCGATTGCTGGTTGTATTAAACGGGACAACAAAGGGTGCTATGCCTACATTATGATGAATATTTAGTCCTATAGGTCTTGCTGTATTCAATGTCTCAATCCAATGGGCCTCCCTAGATTGACGGAATTTGGTAGTTTCATCTTCGGGCAAGTCAAATTCTATACGCTCAATTTGGATTAGGGCGAGATCGTCTATTGAATGGTCGTCGAGGTTGAAATGATTAGAAACAGGCTTGTCTTTCTTTAATTTGATGTCTGACCTATGAGCATTAAAGCGAGTTCGTAAATTATTCTTAGTTTCTCCTACATATTGTTTGGGGCATTTCTTGCATGAAATTAAATATATTACATTCGAATGTTCGCATGTTAGATGTTCCTGGATCCGTAGAGTTGCTTACAAAATAATGAGTTTCTGATATAAAGGGACATGTTTTGCATCTACTGGACAAACATGGAGCACTTCTTAAACCTGGAGGTACTTCGGCATAAAGTCTGTTTTTAGCTGCTATCTGTGCTAAGGTGGAATTTTTTATGTTTCGTAAAAATCGTTTAGAGTACCCACGCTCTTTCAGTTTTGAGAAAACAATCGTACAGGCTTGGTTGAAATCAGAAGATCTTGTACAAATTCGATGAAATCGTAAAACTTGTGACTTAATTATACCAGAAAAGGTATGTTTTGGGTGAAAGGAGCTCTTGTGCAAGAGTTGATGAGTATCAGTTTCTTTGAAATACACTTTAATATCCAGTTTATTTGTTTCTGCTATGGAATCTCCCTTAAAGACTGTGGTATCGAGAAAGTCTATGCTTTTGTCACTCACGTTTGCGGTTAGTTTGATAGAAGGATGGTGGTTGTTGAGAATTTCAAAGAATTCCCAAAACTGTTCCATAGAATAAGTCCAAACCATAAAAATGTCATCCAAAAAGCGTCCATAAAAAAGTGGGTGAAATGGACAGAGGGGCAACACCTCACGTTCCCACTCCCATGAAAAGGTTTGCGTACGAAGGGGCGAATCGTTTGCCCATTGCTGTCCCTGAAGTTTGTAAATATGTTTTACCATTAAATGTGAAATCGTTTCGACTAAGACAAATCTCTAAAAGCTGTAGAATTGCATCGTCGGGTCTGCGCTAGCAAACGTCGAGTTTGTTTACCCTATGACGTCATTTGGTATCCTGTTTGACGTCACGTTCCCTAGTAACGTCAGATGCATTTTGACGTCATTTTAAAGATGGCTTTCATCGGAAAAAGACGTAGTTTTTACCAGAGGCGTTTTTATGCTCGAAAAAGGTTTTACAGTAAGCGTAGGAGGACTTTTTATCGTCGTAGACGTGTACCAAGGAGGAGAAGGACTAATAGACGTAAAACCAACTTCATGAAACGTATTTATAAAGGTATCATTCATTCAGAACATAAGGATAACCATGAATTTAATTTGGGAACCAAAGGGATCTATACTTCGAACTTATGTTGGAACTGGCATTCCTTTCTTACTGGTAGTATCAAAGATTAAGTATCTCACTACCTGAACTTGTTCGATGAAGTGAAGATTAGACATGTAACCCTCACCGTCACCTCTACCTATGATCCTGACGCTCAAGGAAGGGTGATGTCTTTAGACAACCAAAATTGTTGTCCCAATACTAGGGAGAAGTTGATTAGGTATGGGAAGAAGTATACCTTAAAGATGTATCCCGAGCGTAGGAGGACTTTTTATCGTCGTAGACGTGTACCAAGGAGGAGAAGGACTTATAGACGTAAAACCAACTTCATGAAACGTATTTATAAAGGTATCATTCATTCAGAACATAAGGATAACCATGAATTTAATTTGGGAACCAAAGGGATCTATACTTCGAACTTATGTTGGAACTGGCATTCCTTTCTTACTGGTAGTATCAAAGCTCAAGTATCTCACTACATGAACTTGTTCGATGAAGTGAAGATTAGACATGTAACCCTCACTTATTGGTTACGTAATAATGGATCCAATTCTCTTACTAATGAGCAACCTACCGTCACCTCTACCTATGATCCTGACGCTCAAGGAAGGGTGATGTCTTTAGACAACCAAAATTGTTGTCCCAATACTAGGGAGAAGTTGATTAGGTATGGGAAGAAGTATACCTTAAAGATGTATCCCAAATTTCAACCTAAACTGTCTACTGCCAAGTCTGTTGCTATTGGAGGCGGCGCTAGCAAACGTCGAGTTTGTTTACCTTATGACGTCATTTGGTATCCTGTTTGACGTCATGTTCCCTAGTAACGTCAGATGCATTTTGACGTCATTTTAAAGATGGCTTTCATCGGAAAAAGACGTAGTTTTTACCAGAGGCGTTTTTATGCTCGAAAAAGGTTTTACAGTAAGCGTAGGTGGCCTCTCAGTATTTTTACCCCCAGTAATTAGTTTAAAGACTTACTCGATGCTTGAAGCTGGTGTATCCAAAACAAATAAATGCTGTTTGCTGTTTCTGGAGACCAATGAAGATTATCAACTGGTTCGAATTCTTCTTCGTAGGGTGGTAAGATTGTTGCGCTGTTGATACTGGACTCCATCATCATGTTGTTGAGAGTGCTGAGGTTCTGTTGTGCTTTCTTCGAGATTTTATTTGAAATGGGTATACATGTGAAGAGGATCTTGGAGTTTGGGAAAGTTTTGTTGGCTGTGGCGATTAATTTCTGGGCTTGGTTAAAGGAGGTCTTTGGTAGCTGATCACGGTTGTGAGGCCTACATGAAGAATAATGGTA